AATAAAGAGGCGATGAGTGGATTCAGGGGAGTCCCTTGGAATGTTTTCTTCATCGGAGGTAATAGTAACGGGTTCGGAGATACGAGCGGGAGAGATTTCAGTTTCATCCTTAGAAACAATGCGCCTCCTGGTTCTAGGACGAGCTGTCAAAGAGGTATCTTCATCTTCATCAACGTCAGAATCCTCTTCAACCACTTTTCTCTTTGACAACGTGGCTTGCGTTCTTTCCAAAGCAAGAGGAGTACTGGAAGAAGCTCGAAGGGTGATAGCTACTTCAGCCGACATCCCTCGAATAGCAAATCCTGACAATAAGAAGGATAAAAAGTTAAAAGAGGGGAAAAGAATTTAACACACGAGAAGCAAAAAGGGATGTATACCGTGAGTTTTCACTTTCCAACCATGTTTGTTGGAAATAGATTTCCAAGTTCGTGCCTCCATAGGCACGGCTTTCAAGACAGCATCTACCCAACCACGAAAATTAGGAACGGGTTCCACATCTCCCATGGTTGCTACAAAAAAGCAAAGGAATAATAATAAAATTAGAAAAGAAGTTGAAATAACGAAAGCAGATACGGCAAGGAAGAAAATACTTACGTGCAAAGTTCCATCTCTCAGGAAAAGGAATATTTGATTCACCCACCAAATCAATTGTGGGAACAGCAACAAACCGGGTGTACCAGCCACGGTCGTTATTATCTTCAGGGTTAACCAAAACCCTCTTACTTCTTGCAGATAAGGTAAAAACACCATTGCGGAATAGGTTGGAGTGATAAAGATGAATTAGATGAGGGAAAGTAAAGTCAACATCAGCTTTGGTTGACATATACCTCAAACAAGCTACTGTTCTCCATATGAGGGGACCAACTTGAGCCAAACAAATTTTGAAAAAATGACAGAAATCAAGTATGACTGGGTCAATAGCAGGAATAAATCCCAAAGTAAAGGGATAAGTGTAAACGAAAGAAAAGCCAACCCTATAAGAAGATATTCTTTGGTGTGGGGTAAGAATAACTATGTGGGTGTCATCTCTCCAACGACAGTCTCTTCGAACAATTTGAATCAAAGGTTCAGTAATTAAAGAGGGATATTTATCAGCTCTCTCTAATTTAATCACTTGGTCACGAAGGGATTCTTTGTCATGTTCGAAAGATAAATCCGTTGGCACAATTTCTTCAACCAGAGGCTCTTGGTTAGACTTAGAAGGTTCTTTGCCCTTAGAAGAGGATCTGTGAGAGAGAGAGCCTCTAGAGATATTGCCAGAACTAGAAGAGGGAGTGATGGAACCAGAGGTACCACCACGAAGCGACCCTGTACCACGAAGCACACCTCCTCTACCTCTTCTATGTCTAGCAGGAGCATTGGGGAAACTATCAAGAATTGGGACTCTTTTAGGGTTAGGATTTGAAGACGACCTAGTGAGAAGATATGAACAAAAGGTATGAACTGAAGAAGAAGTGAACGAGAGTAAATAGCAAGAAATTTGGTAAAAAGCTTGTGAAGAAGAAGAAGACAAAGGAAAAAGGGGGCAAGTTTATATATAAACTCAACCGTCGATAATTAAGAAGTGTAATGATGGAAAGCCTATAATAAAGGCAACTATCACTTCGTGAATAGTGGAGTTAAAGAAGCCTTAGAAAAAGGCTGCAAAATCGCAGAACTAATGAGAAGGTGACACGTATATGGTACATTAAATAGAAGAGACAATTGAAGCATCGACACTGTCATAGCAATGATTATGGCGAAAATTCCCTTTTTAATGAAGATCCACTTCCCAAATATTTAATTGATAAATAAATGGAAAGTGGGGGGACGATCTGTATAGGGAAAAAACTAAATTTATATTGAAGGTGACGTGGCATGACACGTGGACTGGTCAAATGGTCAAAACATGATGATCAGTTAAGAGGCACGGGCGATATCAGATACGAGGAGGAGAAAGTTAAATAGGCACGAGATGCTATTCAAATGATACGAGTCTCGTATCTATTTAACTTAATTAAAGCCAGGAGGTCAGAAGGAATTGAAGATATGAATCTGATGGCATAAAGGTGTATAAATTCAGTATTAAATGTCAAATACGTTAGCGAATCAGTATTGAATAGGAATGATTGTGTAACGTTTCATTTAATGTCATTTAATGCTCATAATTGCCTCTTTAAGGCTAAGGCATTATACCTTTTTCTAGAAAAATCAACTATAAAAGGAGGAGGTCTCAGCATTTGTAGTGACACGGAAAATCATTGAGATTACATTGAAATACAAACTTATTTACTGCTTTATTATTCTAAAAAATTTCTTATTCTTTTCGTCTCCCGATTATCAGTAACCAGATTTTTTTCTCTTAATTTCTAGTTTTAACCGAAATTCTATTTTTTTTGGTTAAACACTCATATTGTTCAGTCTCACTTTCAGTCGTTGCATTTATTCCCATACTTTTAACTTCAAGAATTGAAAGATCTACCTCTACCACTATTTCTCCATGCTCCCCAAAGTTGTTCAAAATTAACTTCTCAAAATCAGAATAAGTATCAAAAGTCCACCCACACTTAGACTCTTGCTCGTCCTCGAGTAAGCATTAAAACCATTCAATAAATCAAGCCTAGAAACACCACCACTTAGGTTTGGTTGATACTAACAATTAGTCCCTATAGCAACTCCAATCATCAAATTTACACTTCCTCATCATCATGCAAGACATACAAGTCACAAACAAACAACAAACTTCTAACCTCCTAACTTCATAGACGGACTCTAACTTATCAAATTTAAGCTCGCTCACCTACTCTGTCAAAGAAGCTAATAACATAACCTATCTATCATGAAACACGTGCCCTCACAAGAATAAATAGTCCATACTCTCAAATCAATGAATGAATATAATTTAAGGACTTAGCATCAAAGAACAACTCTCGCACTCACAAAGAAATTCACATGTATGCACAAAGAACCATAAGCTTGCCCATTATGTACATCTCTACTAATTAAGTATGCTCGAATAGAATCAAATAGGACTTTAACAGGTTGTAATGTTGGCTAGGGGACATGTAGGAGAATTATATTTATAGTGACTTACACTTCCCTAAGCACTTTGCACTTTTAGACTTCATGCCTCATTATTTTCATCTCTTCACTTTTATTTTTAGCTCTCTCTTCATCTATTATTTCACAAGTATTCCCTCATATCAAGAATGCTTCATTTTTTTTTCAAAGCAATTTTTTTTTTCATTCTCTTTTTTCTTTCTTTTTCATGTCACATTCTTTTCAAGAAGGCCTTTTCATCACCTTTCAGCCATCATTGGTCACCATTTTTCACTCCCATTCTTCAAATATATCAATTAATATCATAGTCTAAGCAATAGTGCTCAAGGAAACATGGTACAAAAACTAGGGATTCAATAAAAGGATCAAGGCAAAAATACAGCTTCCAAACAAAAGGCTACAGGCTCAAAGGGCTAACTAGTGGTACAATATCTGAAAGGCCAAAATTCACAAGACATATCGAAGAAAGCCTATTATCATCTTCTAAACAAAGCAACACTTTTATTTCGCTTCAATAACATGCAGGGTAAGTTCTAGACTAAGATGCAAAATATGGAATATATGTACGAAATACTCACCACACATGGCACAAGTATCAATCAAGATGGATCAATTTCACTCTAAGACAGACAGGGTCATAGCGAACGACAAAATAAGAATAAGCTATGTACAGAGTCACAACCATGAGCTTAGGTGTCAGAAAGTCTGCTATTTTATTCATTACTCGAGCACTCAGAGGAAAGTACTACTCAAGCATAAGCCTAATATGCTAGTATCAAACAAGTTACACAGTTTTTCTTCTCTCTCTTTTAGTACTCCTAAAAAAATCTAATCCAAAAAATTTAAATAGAAAAATTACCGGGTTCAAGTTACATCCCCTGGAAAAGAACCAATGCACAAAGAAAAACCAAGGGGGATTATTACCTAACTAAAACTACTAGAACAAAAAGAAAAAAAATTGATTTTTTCTATTGGACCTTAATCCCTCAAGAAAGCTGTCCACAATATCCATCATCGGGAAAAGTCCCAATTTTTTGATTTTTTTTTCTTTTGTCGTTTTTTTAAAGCAAAAACTACTACACTAAGAACGAATACTACAACTAAGCTAAGATAGCACAGAAAATCACCCAAACAATCTCCTCACCCCACACTTAAAATTGTGCAATGCCCTCAATGCACACTGATATTAACAAGAGGGTAAAAGGGACTCCCTGGTAGACCAAAGGCCGAAGCATTAGCAGCTCACGGGATACTCAGACTTCTCCCAGGTATGATCCCTTGTGCGGGTACCTCACACTTAGTTTTAACCACCTGCTCGCTTTTGCACATGCCTATTGGCTTTGACTTCATGCTTCTATTCCTACAAAACACAAAATAATACTACAAAAAAAAAAAATAAACAAAAGAAAAAGAAAAAAATAGAATTGGGTTGCCTTCCAACAAGCGCTTGAATTAATGTAGCGGCACGACGCCATCACTTTCACCACTTTTCCTTCCACTTTGAAGATATGAATTGCGCCCCCAATTTTGCATCAATTTTTTTGTCACGTTCTTGGGGCGGTGGTGTAAAAATAAAGGAACCAAGCAATAGATATCGCATCTTGCACTTCTTGGCATTTAAGTGAGGGATGTCATTTTGTCTCCTTGGTATGGCAAATTTCAGAATATAAACACTTTGTTCCTCATCTATTGACTCCTCCATATGCTCGAATGGATCAATTTCCACGTCACCAGCCAAACACAATGTTGAAAACTGGTTAGAATGAGGTCCAATACGCTCCAACTCCAAAACTGCATTATTATTGACATCCTCAATTTTGTGCACTTCGTCAACCTTGGCATCATTAATAATTTTGTTGAATAGTTGGAATTCCTCTTTCCGCTCCGTAAGTTGGCCAGTATCTATGACAATTGGTTGTAGGGCATCAAACGCCTCAACCTTTTTATTCAATTGAGCTTGCAGGTCATGGATATCTGAGCCAAATTGTTCTATCTCTTGCCTGAGCTCAGTTCTTTCGTCTATCAGCTGTTCTGTCATATTTGAAAGACTATCACGGAGAAACTCATGAGATTTTATCAATTGAGTTTGTTCCTCTAGCCAAGATTGACTCACTATATCTGCTTCTTCTAAATTATCTTCTGGTGGGAACTCGCTCTCTTCAGCCACTTCCTCCGCCTCGGCCTTCATTCTCATGATTGCTGCACTAATTCTTTGTATAACCTTTCGATTTTCATCTTGTTGCTCGGCTACTTGCCTCATCATCTCCATAATACAGGCAGCTTAGTCCTCATCCTCCACTTCACTGCTCCTATCAAACTCATAAATATTATTAGAAACATCATAATAAGAGTTCTGAGAAGGATAATAAGAATTAGGACAACCATCCCAATGGCCACCTTGACCACCACACATATTACAAATATTCCACCAATAAGATTGAGATTCACAATTTTTTCACAAGTGTGATCCTCCATAATATAGACAAGGATCACCATAATAAGAATAACCAATATTCGATCAATTATCATTCCAAGATGCCATGTCAACAAAGATAGTAGATATTAAACTAAGATAAAAATTTAAAAACTTGAATAGACAAAGAGTAAAAATCTAATCTAGCAGACTAGTTAATTTCTAAGTCCCCGGCAACGACGCCAAAAACTTATTACTCCCAAACGCACACACAAGTATACGTGATCGACAAGTAATATAGGATTGTAAGTCCAGATGTCGTACACACAGGGACTTGTGATTAACTATCAACTAAATTAAACCAAAACAATTAATCTATTCAAGCGAAATCTAAAGTATGAATATTTAACTAAAGATAATCTAGAGTAGTAAACTAAGAAACAAAGGAAACAAATTGGCGGACCTTGACACGAATTCAATGGGAGACGATATTCTAGAGCTATAAGTTAGCTAACAATCCTGTTGAGTTTACTACCTAAATTGTCTAATTAGTTTATCTAGTTTATTGATTGATGGGGTTAATATTGCTCGTAGCTTTCTCCCGAAGTATAACTCGCCTATTCAAGCTAACTTAACGCCTATATTCCTATGGAATTAGGATTAACAAGAACACATTTATAATTCTCGTATAATAATCAAGCAAGGCGATTAGGTATATTCCTATCCTAATCGCAAATCCGCCCCCCCCCCCCCCCCCCCCCAGAGTTATGGCAACATGCTACCAACAACTGCAACTTCATCGAGACATATAAAACAAATTCAAAAGACAAAAAAGTACAAAATTTATTTGCTATTTGTGATAGCGGCTATGAGTTATCGATAAGCGAGCTCAAGGTGCTACCAAATCATTAGCTAAAAAGATTTTAATGCCTTACTCAATCTTATATGCAATCTACAATTTCCTCTCCCGAGTTCAATACTCGATTCGTAGATAGTATTCAATTGGTGATCAAACAATCAAATAATTAAGCGCAAGATTGAATAAATAAATCAATATGATAAAATAATAAGAATAATTCAAGTTTAGACTACAACGTTCATGTAGCACCCCAACACTCTAGAACTAATAAACTATGAAATCAAAGGAAGAGAAGAGAAGAAAAATTAGTTAGAAGCCTCCTCCAAGCGTGGTTTGTGTTCCCCCACGTGAATTCTCCTTCAAATATGCTCGATATCCTCCAAATTAGGTTTAGGACCCCTTTTATACGAGTTGGAACCGTGTAGGACTGAAATAACCTTGTCCCGAGCGAAATAGGAAAACCCCCCGCAACACAGCATCCAGGCCAGCGCCAAGCGCTGGTCCTAGCGCTGAAAACAGTGAGTTTTCACGCTCACTCCTTAGCTGCGTTACTTTTGAGTTCTTTCTTTCTCTTTTGTTTTTGTTGTCTCCACTAGGGGGGGATAAAACCCCAAGGGTGTCCCCCTATTTTTTATTATTTTAATTTTCATTCTTTTTCTTCCGCGTTTTATTTAGTTTTGCTCCAAATCTCTTCATCTTCATATTGCTTTATTCCTACACAGTTAAAATATAATATTAAGCACAAAAAATATAATTGATACTCAAAAGACGATTAAAAAGTGCTATAATGTAAGAGAACAATGGTTAAATATATGCGTTTTTGGCCAAACATCAATCAGTAATTGGCATCTCATTAAACTCTTGTTGCAAATGGGTTCCAAAACCCATTTTGCTATGTACAACAAAGGGTGACGTCTCTGCAAATAACTTAATCTCAGTCTTGTCAACTCTGTTATCCTCTAGTCCATCCGCATCAAGCACCAACTCTATTTGTGTGGGACTATTATCTTTGTTGCATACAAAAGTGATGCCAAAATTAAGAGTTTCAGAAATACAAACCCTGTGAAAAATGTCAGGATTACTTGCAAATCCTAAGGAAGGAGAAGATATGGTTTAATGCTGCTGAGCTTCGACAATACGAGATGACAGTGTTCGAGGTTCTTTGCTAGACGACTCAGTCCATGGTCAGCTTAGACCGTTGCTGTCTGCTCCGAAAAGGACATAGATACGGCAGAAATGGTAAATTGCAGGTACTATTATCGATGACAGTTGGCATCCTCTCAACAAATGAAAATTCGGATGAAATATGACCATTAACAATAGTGTTAGGAAGTTGTTCCTATTGAAACAGCAAAGGCAACTGCCAATTACCAGATTGGGAACCTATCGCATAGCCTCTGTCTGAAACCACTCCAGTGGACCAACCATGGGAGAACTCCGGTGGGTGATACAGACAATGAGGCGACTGAAAATCAATGGCTTGTAGAATGATGATGATTGAAATTAGCGGTGTGTAGAGGGTTTTAATTGGTTTTCTGGTAACCACTATAATAATTCCCATATTGCATATTGTTATAACCAAAAAGATTACTATAACCATAGGGACTATTACCTTGATATGTTGCATTGCCGAAATCCTGCGGCATAATTGCTGGTAAAACAACTCGTAAAGAGTGATTGGGAGTGAAATTAGAGCCATATAGAGGGTTTTGGAATGTCATTAATGACTACCCACAGAGCGAGGATAATTGCTCTGATACCACTGATACAAGATTGAAATTGCAGAGAAGAAAACTAAAGCTAAAGCTAACAGAAGAATGAAAATTAATGCAAATAAGATAAAGGTTTTTCATCATAACCTTCAAAAGCGATTACAGTGTTATATATAAAGAAAATGGAAGGAGGGACGAGTTTGAACAAAAGTATACTAAAGGGAACTAATGTGTAACATTATAAATATTAACTATATAAAAGAATAGAAACTTAAGTATTAGCACCACAACTATGATATAACTTCCGTTTGTTATTACTCCAATTGCGAAGATGCACCCTTTACAGTTGAACGTATAGCTCCCCATAAGCACAATAATTTCCTTTCTAGCACGACCAACTCTAGCTTGTATCAAACACCACCACCGTAAATGCCACTTATTGTTCAACTTGTGAAGGCGTTGGAGATATCAAAGATACAATATGCAAAATTGATCCTCTCTTGTGAATACTTTGTGAAAAAGAAACGTCATGTATGTGCTCTTTTCTTTTCTTTTAAAAGGGCTAAGCACATGCTTGGAGATATCAAGATGCAATCTTGGTAAATTTAAAGAATTCTAACCGCCAAAATCTGAGGAGGGGAGAGGTGGTCGTGACCAGTTTTAAAGTTTTCAGGTTTCTGTGGTGGTGGCCAGATCTATGGTGTGGAAAGAGGCGGTGATGCCCCGGACTTGGAAGAAGAAGAAGAAGGTGCTACGACAACGGTGGTCATGGTGGTGCCGGAATTAGTAAAAGAGGGCAGCAAATATGTCACCGGATAATTATTTATTCGGCAGAATCTTCGCGTTTCCCAGCAACACACGCTTTTAAGATACACGTTATGTGCCAACTCAGCGAGTTCTGTCTCATATGTATACTTGGGTTTGAGTTCGGGTGTTTAATTGGAACAAGCTTTAATATTAGTGTCTAAGTGAAAAAAAGTGGACAAGTTTAGGGGTGTGCGCATGTATTTAGCCTTTCAATTCTCTTTTTGTTACAAATGAATATTAAAAGTGATATACACATAGAATGTCTGATAGGAAATAATAAAATGGTATTAGTGAGAGGAATTGAAAGGTCCACAGTTATTAGAAAAAATGCAACTTTTGATCTTCCCCTTCCTCTTTTTCGTTTTTCTTTTCCGTTAAATCTTTCATTTTAAGTTGTTTCAATCTCTCCTAATAAAATTTTTTTGGTCTTTGTTAGAATGTATATTTACATCATGAAAAAGCATTTTTCTAGAGAAATAAAGTAAAAACGAATTGCAAGAAGTGGTACTATTGCATTGCATCTTCGTCAAATGTTGAAATTTATCACTTTACTCTCTCCTTCACTTTTAGTTGTCAAGTATAATAAATTTTCATTTGTACTTGCCACTTTTCGCATATCAAGAGAAAAATGGTTTATTTTTTGTGTTTCGCCTTTAGCATTAATTACTCATTTCAAATTATTTTTCAAATTCACGGGCTCGCACCTCGGATCTCGATAATTCTGGATAATAATGCTTTGATATTCAATGAAAACAAAAAAGTCAACCTAAAAGGTCAACCACAGGCTCACACCTCGGATACCGACAAAATTAAAAAAATCCGAACCCACATTCCGATATGAGTCCAACCACACCAAAATCATCCAATTCCGACATCAAATCGGCCTTCAAATCATCAATTTATGTTTCAGAAAAATTTTTACGAAAATACCCAATTTCTCCAATTCAAATCATCAAATAAATGATAAAAACAATGATGGAACCATGAAACATTACTATGATCCCATCATCTATTATTTTTGGTATTTTCCTCTGTCATTGAACCTATTAAAAGGTGTTTACCTTGAAAATGGTGTTAACAATTATATTTGATTTTGTGGTTCTAAAAATATAAGATTTATTTTAATACTAGTTGTTTGGCAATAGATGCTAAGTGTAAGTAAAGAGAATAATATATGCAAACCAATCTGTCGCAAGACTGGGCCTCGAGCTGGCTGGAACAGGGGGCCTCAAGGTCTAGTTAGGCCAGTTAGCAATGAACATTGAAGAAGAAACGATGATATCGAAGGCCTCGAAGATAGCCTTTTGCGGTTAATAATGGGAAATAAGTGAAGAACAATAAATGAACAATAAATAAATCTGTAGAGAGATTATTGAGCACGTTTAGGCAAGAAAAGCAGAGAATGTTCTATTGTATTCAATGTTCATCCGTCTTTACAAAATGACAAGGGTCACCTTTATATAGGAGGGGGAATCCTAACATAGTACATGTCTAATAATGACGAGGAAATGCTATTGGCACAGCTGTATAATGGCTTAGTACGGATTTGTACTATTTATTGCAGACTCTGTCAGTTCTAATCACGTGCCCTCGAGAATTTCCCTCCTTTCCATGATGGTCGTCGATTTTCATGCTGCCTCGAGGTACGCTGTGATGAGTCTTCGATATACCCTCTCGAGGCGAGGGCTTCGGGGATGAGCCTTAAACTGTGCTTCGAGCCCATCGAGGCCGGGCTTGAAACGCCATAGAAGGCATAAAATCGGCCTTCACTGATTTTGACCGTATATAGATAGTCCCCGCATTTCTTGGAATGAAATAACAAGGAACGATTTGAATTCTTCAACTCTTCAATACATCCATCATTACGTCAGTTATGTCATGTGAGCGATTGATGTGACAAAAAGGGATGTTCAAAAGTCACATTCGCACGGTTCTTGAAAAGCCTCGAATTGATTACGACGGTTGGTCGTCCTTTGGCTTTCCCCAACACGCACTACTAGCCCCTATAAATACTCCAATCCTTCACTCCTTACTCTTCATCATATCTCCAAACTTTCAACAGCTCTTGTTACTTCATTCTTGTGTTCGTCTCTCATCCAGTTTTTCTCTTTTCCTCTGAAATCTTTCAGTAAAAATGGCGAAGACCTCTAGAACCATTCCCCAAGATGATAAAGCTTCTTCATCTTCAGGCTCGTCTAAGGGCAAGGCCATAGTAGCTCCTCGTCTTGAGGAGTGCATCCCCGGACCCTGTGAAACGTCCTCCGATTTCACGGTTGACAAGCCTTCTTCGAAATCGGGGCGGTGCGAACACATGTCCCGATATATTAGCCTGATAACCGACACTGGGAAGGTGAAAGATGATTGCCGCCAGGGAGAGGCGGTGCAAGTGGAGATTCCTTCTCGGGAGGAAGACGTAACGACACATAAAACTGGTTTCCTTAGTGTATACACATATCCTTTTACCCTAGGTCAGGTAGAACCATCCTCGCCATCGATAGACCCCGTGATCCTCGATTTCTGCAGACAATATCGGGTGACACTCGGCCAAATCCATCCATCATTCTGGTGCATTGTTCACCTGGTCGAGGGGATGCTTTTTACCTTGACATCTGATTAGGATGTACAACCCCCGACTTTATCGAGGCGGTCTGATTAAGCTTCCACATCGGGCCTCGAAGGTTCTCTTTGCTTGCACTTACGAAGACAAGGACAGAGGGTGGATGAGCCGCTTTGTCCGAGTTAGGACCTCGGATCTAATTCCTATTGAAAGGATGCCATTCCTCGAGGAATGGAATATGAATTGTAAGCGAATATGTTTATTAAATATTTTCTCTTTACTTTGGACCATCTTCCCCTTGAACTAACTCCCTTCGATGATGCAGCAGTTGTGTGGTACCGTAGTGCGGTTAAGGATCTCTCGGGCTGGGTTTGCCATCTTGAATCGACTTGCCCATATGCTAAGCGCGTGTGGCGCGATCTGGGCAAGGCCCGTTAGGAAGCTAAAAATCATGGTAAGGTTTTTCTTCTGCCGTACTTGAGCTCTTTAAAGGAGATACCCCTTGACTCTGTTCTTATTTTTTGTACCTACCTTTTATGTTTGCGCAGGCCTGGGAGAGGCCTCTTTGATGAGGGAAGCCCTCCGGGGAGGCAGATACACCAAAAAAAACCAAGGAGAAGAAGAGAAAGAGAAAATCACCGACTAAGTCCCCGAAACCGAAAAAGTATAAAGCTTAAAAGCCTAAGGTCGATTCAGCGGCCTTAACTTCGGAAGCAGCAGAGAGCCCCCGAGCCGGGGGCAAAGAGAAAGATGACTCCTCGCTAGCACCCGGGGGAAGAGGAAGCGTGTCTGCTTCGGATTTTGCTGAGCCGATGGTTGTTGAGCCGAAGGCTTCTAAATCTGAAGTTGTTGATGTTGTCCCACCTTGTGCCGAAGAGGCTCTCGAGGGTAGGTCAGATGACGTCCCTGAGCCGGTCGACGGCAAAAACATTTCCCATGCCCAGGGGCATTCGGTAGATGAGTTAGGGGAGCCTAACTTTGAGGCTCCTCAGAGGCAAGAGAATGCCTCGATTGATCCAGCTGGAGTTGTTGATATGGGTGATTCTCCGCCGGGTCCGGCATTCTCTCCGAGGGAGATACGTGATACCCATAATAGAGAGACTTCTGATGCGGGGGCTTCCCTCGGGGAGAATGACGTGTTTGAAGGATTCTTCACTGGGGTCGAAGAAACCCCCGAGCCTAACGCCTCGCTCATTTTTGAGAAAGCTGTATACAGGCGAGATCGGGAGGCCTGATTTCGCGATCATTGCGCCTCTCCCTTAGCCTCGAAAAGGCCCTGAAGATCCGTGGGCACAGCTCGAGGCTTTGACCTCGAAGGCTCTTCACACTCGACCTCGACGCAGCATGAGTCTGTGGTTATCGAAGGTAAGCGGGAAGTTCCCTAGGTATATGGTCCGAACTGACATCACCTGCAAGAATAGTACCAGTCTGCGCTAGAATACTAGGTAGCTATGCTAGCTATCTTACTTTGTAATAAATACTTTTGTACTATGTTTGGGTTCTCCCACATATAAAAAGGGGGTCCTTGTCATCTGTAGACCATCTGTTGCTCAATACCAAATATACAAGA